ATTTCCAGGATATTTGGTCATTCTAATCCATTTCCAGGTGTTTCCATGACTGGAAAACTGCTCTTAATTTTTTTAGATCTTTTATTCCAGGACACGTGGGAACCCTGCACATAATGACTTGACCCATCTTAATTAGTGCTTCAATTATCATAGCTGCTTATGACTCATAAGTATAGTATCAGGGTGGTGACTGTGGCCAGACATTGGCTGCTTAGTGTTGTTTAGTCTGTGGATAACTTCAGTGTCACATCTCTCCGACAGATCAGCCTCTGGTGTAAGGGAGGGAGGGAGAGAGGGAGAGAGGGAGGGAGAGAGGGGATCTGAATAGGAAACGTTTTACTGAACACCAAAATAACTCAGCTGGAAATAAGTGGCTGAAGCCTTTACTGGCAATCGTCCATCCTGCTTCACTGAGTCACCCACAGTGTTGAAATAGGTTGAGAAATCGACTTTAAGCCCCTCCTCTTTTTTTTTTCCTCTTTTCACACAGTTACACATTCAGCTTTAGAGGGGCGAGCCTCCGCAAAGCGAACTTTTAAGTCGGGTCAAGCTGCTTTACAGGAACAGATATTAGTGACACCTCTGATTCAGCAATTATAAGCTGCATATGAGCAATTAATAAAGGGTTTGTAGTTTTAAACACATACCGTTTGTGTTAACAGGGGTGAGTGATTGCATCATTATCTCTATCTGTTCAACCAATAAATTATCTATATTAATAACCATGCTTGAAATGGGCGGGGCTTAAACTGGGCATGGGGGGGTGCTTAAATATGAAGTGGGTGGGACTGTAACTGTAAGCTGTTCATTTTGGCCTGATATTGATATGGGTTGATCAGAAGTTGCTTTTATCATTTAGAAAACTATTTACAGCCTCGGTTATCTTGCTCTTGTGGTCAAAAACGTTGCTCTGAAGCTCAATTCTACTCACAGATCGAGATATAGACACATTTTCCTGTGCTGTACTCGGACATTATCTGTACCGGATACTCATTAAAGCTGAGCGCTCTCAACCTCAAACTATAACTCTTGTATGAAGCATCTGTAACTGTTACATAAACAGTAACCTCACAATGAGATTAAAAGAAAACAGATTTGTGTTGCTTTGTGTCCTTAACATTTGACTTATGGTAACACCTAATGAAAAATCGACCATATTATGGGAAAACGCATTTTGTGTTTGCATTCTGTAACAGTGGCCAGTCATTTAACTTTATTCTGGAAATCTCGGTAAACCAGTGAAAGTGGCAGGTAGTCAGTTTGTTCATTACCTTTCTCAAAGTCCTTGAGGGTCTCTTCTTGAAAGTCCTTGAACAGATCTAACCTGAATCTCTTCTCCAAACCGTAGCTGTAGTATCTGAAGAGACATTCCAGTCCGTACCTGCAGGGGAAAACAAATATTTACCTGCACTCTGACCAGAAAAACAAGTAAATAAATAACATTCAGCTTTTTTAAAATCTGGCACAGGTATGTTTGCATAGACGGGACGTTACGGGACGTCATTGCATCACTGTAAACTGATATGTCCCCACATGTTCCTCCAGCTGTTCACAACAGTAAAACTTTGTCTCACAGATTATTAGTGACTTATTAGTGGATCCACTTTTCAGTAAAGTCGATAAAGTCAGCTGCTACATAAAAACCTGATGGGGTTGTTGCATTGTCTGCCAACACACCCTGAAACTACATTCACTCCCACTTCAACACGCAGGCCTCAGCTGCCTACTTATTTAGACAAGAATGTGGGTCTGGCAGGTGTGCGAAGGCGCCTCTGGCAGATGCACAACTATGTTAAAAGTGAGGGAGGCTCCCCCCGTTAACCCTCCGCTGTCGAGTAATGACGGTCAAACGCTGCTGCTGTCTGCAGACACACACTCAGGGATCAGGAACCCACCAATTAGCCCGGTGTACACACAGAAGAATGTGTAAACTTTTGCAAGTTATAAAAGCCTTCCTGCACTTGTTAGGAAGCATAAAAACACAACTTCTGAATTCGGAGAGTTAACTTGAAGTGAAGGATGACTAAGAGGGTTCTGGCTCCTCCTCGCTGCTTCCTTTACATAGTTTGAGATCTTTTTAAATATACTGTTTATTATTCCTGTGACTTCTGTCTGTAAATTAAACCACTCCTCTGGGACATTAAAGCTCTATTTTACTCTTTTTTAAGGCCATCAAAGCTCACAGAGTAAGATAAAAATGGATGATCACGATAATAACACAGCTACTTCATAACGTTGTGTATACAATGTGTTTTTTAACCCAACAGCAGCAAAAGCTTTAATTTGTGTAAATATCTGTGTTGAAAAGATTAGTAATCATTAAAATCCTGACAAGTCATTTATCAAGAAACAATCAAGGAAGGATCTGCTGCTTTTCTCTGTTTGCACTATTGTAAACACTGAATATCTTTGGATTTTGGATTATTGATCAGATAAAACAAACCATTTCAAGCTGTCTGGTATTGTAGTATGAAGGTGCACTGCACTCATAATGATAACTTAACTTCTTAGCATAATTACAAGATCTGGATTTCATAAAACCATAATTACTGACATTTATTTAAGACCAATAAAGACGGTGAGTTTTATTCCGTTTCTGTTCAGTTTTAATTAAGATTGCTTAACAATGGTTTGTTTTGTAAGAGAGACACTTGAATTTAGAAGGTGTACGATTGTATTTTCTTTAACTTTCTGGTCATTTTGTGAGTTTATTTTGTTTATTAAAGCCAACGGTTGTTGCATGTAGTGAACTCGCCGCTCATCTCCCAGCTGAAACTACCGGGGTGGAGAACAGGGGGCGCTGGTGTAGCACACTCGCATGCACAAATATATCAGCAATCACCGATTGATGGACTGACGGTGGCCGGTTGGACATTTCAAAGTCATAATTACGAGAAAACGATTCAATGTTGGTGCTATTTTCTACTGTACTCTTTAAACTTGTGGTGCTCAACGATTAACTGAGAGCTACCTGTCACAAGCAGCTCAGCAGTGAACAGCATTATTAAAACGAAGCACTGTCAGCACGAAGTGAGGCAGACTTCAGAGCACATATAAAGAGGCTTTAGGATCTCAGGGTGTGGCTTCTGCAGAGAAAGTGACATGACTGAGGAAATTCATGTTTGCTGTTTGCTGTTTGCTTGTCTCTTGGCTCCTTTCCATCACAAATTTGGTGTGTGTACCTTTCTCAACAAATATTAAACATTTTCCGCCTGAGGCGGAATAACATTCACACCGAGCTTTAGATGCCATCTAATATCCTCCTCACCTGTTGTTTTCTTTGGCATCTTCCAGCGCACACTGTTTGAACTCCTCATACATCTTCCTGTTGAAGTTGTCCCTCAGGAAGAAGGACCAGAACCTGAACAGAGTGTTCATCTCCTGAGACTGGCCGATCCCCAACCGTTTCCTCTCTGAAAACACATCGATTCAGTCACCAGAGCGCAGAAGAACGTCTTCAATACACAGGTGGTCATTGTGAACTCCTGTATAATCTACATAAATCTGAGATTAACCCTGCAAAAGGACGACTTCTTAAACCAACAAATCAGCCAATTCTTGCTCCATTTATAACTTCTAAAACGTGGGATCGTGTGATGGTGAGAGTGAGGGATTTTTACCGTTAAGGCACCGTCGGCGGTACTTGTGGTATCCCTGCTGAGTGAAGCCGTTGTCCCTCAGCATCTCGTGGGATGGATGCCAGAATTTGGGCAGAGACTGGGGGGTGCATCCGTAACTTCCTGTCAGCGGGGCTCCTTCTGATGGGGAGGCGTTGGAGCTGCTGCAGGAGGACGGAGGAGAGAAGACGTTTGAGTGGCGAGGCAGGAACGTCACATTAACACATTTCCTAATCATATTAATGCATTTTTTTCAAGCCTCTTGAATGAGAGAAGTTGTTGCTCTTCTCTCTTTTATATCTTTGCAAATTGAATACTTTGTTTTTTGTACTGTTTGCTCAAACAAAATGAAATATTTGACAATCATTAGGGATGTAAAAAAAAGATAAAAAAATCGTAATGTATCGCCTTGCTTACAGTGCTGCCACATAACTTAATAGGTATTGTATAAATATGATAATAAAGCACTATTAAATGGAGCTTGATAGAGAATCCGGTAAATGCAGCTCAAATGTTTTGGTCTTTGTTTTTATAATAATATAATTGATCTCTGTGGATTTACATTTGCTATTATGCTGTACATACAGTACAAGCGATTCACTTGTCAAAAATTGGACTGCTTTCACTAACTGCGTGTGAATTCTGGAGCTGTGTTATGAAGGAAAATGTAGATTTCAGATTGTCTGTACTTGCAGAGTGACATATTAAATGACTCGGGGCAAAAATAAGGACGAGGATCTGTAAATGAATACTATTTGTGGCTATGTGAAGCACTTTAGTCATCTTGTTTTCCTTAAAGAGGTGCATATTCATAAAGAGAAGTGAATAAAGGTCACAAATGTCAAGCAGAACAAAGAGATAAAGGATGGAGAACTGCTGATAGTGAGAAAGAAGAAGGTGACCGGTTTGTGTTCTTCATTTGCTTTCCAGGTTTATGACTGAAACATCAACTGAAGAACTGAGAACAAGCAGACAAACCTGATGGATGCAGAGCGCGGCCGGTGTTCACGGGAGTCCATCACCCAGCCGATGTGGGCTTCCTGAGGAGGGTTCGAACTGTGGCTCGTTTTCTTCTTCCTCGGCGTCTGAAGTCACAACAACAGATTTATGACATTTCATGTTACAAAGAGATGCTTTACAAGAGAGGAATCTCTGAGCTTTTAGCTAGAGGATGTCCCTGATAACTGGCGTGCTTAAGGCAATTTTGTCTCTTGTAAGCTCAGTGCTGATATGTAAAATGATAAAACAAGGCCTTTAAACTCAGGTTGAGGTGAAAACATTGTGCAAACATATTTGCAAATGTTGTTTGACTCCCTGTGCCAATGTAACCATGTAAACACACACATATGCAAAACAGGTAACAGATAGTCACTGTAGTTCAACCTGAAAACATGTACAGTTCTCAGCACGATGCACAACAAGAAAAAAACCTAACATTAACGCTGGTTTCAAAGGCTGCACAATCAAAAGCTGTAATATTTAAATTAGATAGCAGTGAAGTGTCGTCACCAGATCAGTGGTTCTTGTTTAAGTAATGCATATGTGTGACCCCACAAAGAATTACACGTCTTTATTATATTTTTAAAAAGCCTAAAGAGACCAAATCATCCAGTAATTACTACCCAAATAACAACAAATGAGGAAAGTTATCATTTTAATCATCTCACAACCCCCCAAGATTTATCCGTGTGAGGGTGTCGACCGGTGTCTTTGAACCACTGTTACATTTATTATTTATTTGTATCACACTCAGACATTGGAGAGCGTCTCTACACGCTGTACTAACCTGGCCGTCGATGGTGCCGCTCTCTTTCATGACGGGGTAGAAGCGAGGCGTCTTGTTGGGGTCCTGGCGTCCGGGGGTGCGAGGCGTTTTGGGGGTTCGGGGTTGGTGAGTGTGGGGTGACTCTGGGACCGTTGTGGGCAGAGACCGGGCCAATTCTGCTCCGCTGTCCACTGTGAGCACACGTTGTTTAAAGATCATTAATATAAACTCTTATAGCTGGTTTAGGATTACACAACATGCATCAGATGCTCTTGAAGATAATATCTGTATTTTAAACGTTACAGGTGAGCTAAAATTAAACTTTATTCAGGTAAAAGGCTGAACTTTGAACAATAGTACACTTTCTCAATGGACTGTAGCAACTGTTTGATATGACAAAGCAGATACTGAGTGAATTATCCTTCTTATTTAAAGTAAACGAAATAATCAAATGCACATTTTCTTATGGAAATATGGTTAAAGTCTGAACTGAACAAAATCCCACCAGAAAGTGACATAACAAATGAAAATGAGATTTCACAGAAGGTGTGGTTGAAATACAGAAAGCAGCAAACAGGATGCTGCTCAGCTTGTTTTTGAAACCGCCTTAACAGCAGCTCCACAAACCCACCTGGCATTGGAGGAGGCGGGACTTCCTGGTTTGGGTCAACGGGCACTTTGGGGGTGAGAGTGTCAAACTCATCTTTACTGATCACGTTCAGCTTCTTGAAGTTCTCCACTTCCTGCTGGGGAACACAGGAACACACGTACAGTTATAAAAAAAGGGGGAAATACAACAAGACACTTGATTGTCACACATGAGGCACCAAAACATAGAGGCAATAAAAACCTTTAAAGATCTGTGTACTGTAAAAGGAGAATAGATTAGATAAGAGAAGCCTAGTAGTTTATTCAACAGTTAAAGTTTAGTTTACATTGTCTAGTTTAATCAATTATTTATTTTTCACTGTAATTATTTAATCAGACTTTAATAAACCTCTCTGTTAAAGCACTTTTGTCAACGTGTGATGTGTTGTTGTTTTTTTAAATGATGACAAAAATATTTAATTTAAAAAAACAATGAATCATTTAACTGACCAGTTCTCACCACTGGTGGTGTATTTAAATATTAAAATAAAGTAATCTAAATAGATATAATACTATGAAAATACTAATACTTTGTAATATTTTGTTTCAATATCAGCCTGCTATGTAGTCTCGTTCCTGAACGTAGCACACACATACATCAGTGATTAGTTACGAGCTAAACTGTGATAGTAAGATAGTAAGTGGAGGTAAAATTAACGGTTCAAAAACACTGCAATCGTGGCTCCAAACAGGAAATAATGGGAAGAGACGTGTGGACCAGACGGTTTATCATACAATAAATCGTAAATCGTATTATTAGGAATAAACCTGCCTCTTGTGTGAAGTGTTCCCAGCCTGCCTACACTACTGTATTTATATCAGTCATAATGGAGAGCCTCATATTTGGTAAATGTAATTAAATTAAACTTATTGATTGTTATTGATAGAAAAAACCTCAACTGTAAGACAATAAAATCATTACACACCATTAACAATCAAAGTATCCCTGCACTGGACTCAGATAGGAGACTGTGTAATGTTCCAGCCTCTCTGGCCGTCTTACAGGCTGTTTAAAGTGATAACAGTACGACATGGTGGTAAAAATACTTGATATGCCAGCGGCTGCAGTCATGTAAGCTTGTGTGACACACAGCAGATGTGCAGAGTACTTCGAACTTTACACGTCAGCGCTGCAGGAAAATTCAGGTGACCTTGGCGCGTGTGTGTTCAGGCGTGACAATTCCCACATGTGGCGACATTATTGACAACCTTTGAACCAAGAATGAGCCAAACACTATTAAAACTGTCACCGTCAACAACAAAAATAAGAGGGATTCAACCTGTTTGTGTGACCACTTTTACACAATGTAGATGTTATTAGTATGACTGGCATTTATTCACATGCTGCCAGGTGTACAGTTTAAAAGCATTTTACTTGAATATTTGTATTCTCTACAACAACAACCTGCTGGTCAATTACTGTAACTGTTGTCTACCAAAGGTCAGAAAACAGACGTCTCCTTCTTTCCTGCACACCTGAGTGGCAACGTAAGATATTCTTGTTTTGAGGAGATCTTTGATACCACATTTAACCCGTCAATCAAACATTAGGGGAGAGACGTGTTCCTTCATCAGACTTTGTGTCTTTCATGATGGATACCGCTGCTCATGCTTAATACTCAGCCCTCCCTCTATTCGTTTTAGAGTGGAAAAGATTAGACGATTAATCTATCAGCCGATTGACAGAAAAATAATCAATTTTGATAGTCGATTTGATTTATCAACCAAAAATACCAAACATTTTTAAGCTCCAGCTTCTAAATGATAAGGTTTACTGCTGTTCTTTGTCTTATGTGATAATTCAGTTCAAATATTTAGGTTTTGGACTGTTGGTCCGACAAAGTAAGCTGTTAATAAGCTGTTATAGACACAAAGAAGATAATAGTCACATTAACATCGTTAGTTGTTTAAATTTTGGTGCCATCTTTGCTTCCACAACCTTAAAATAGTTTGTTCACATTATACATTTATTTAATATGTTTATTATAATCATTATTATATGTTTATTCCAGTAAAAGAGCTCCCAGCCTGTGTGTGTTTCAGCTTTCATTAACCGGATATAGACTCACTCACTCATGGTTACACAAGAAAAGCAATGAAGTGTAGAAAAAACTAAGTTTATCTTTATAAAAATATTCCAGATCACTACTTCAGGACACACATGGAAACGAGGTTGCAGGTGTCAACTTGCACCTTCTTGTGCACAGAAAACATCTTAATCTCAAGACTAAAATGTCTCTATTGAATAAATTAAATCAACAGGGGATCTCAGCTGTTTGCACAGTTAATTGCACAACGTTTCAACATTCACTTCACACTTCCTGAAATAATGCCGCACTTTCACCTTGATCATGTTTTGTTACATTTTCTCCCTCAGAAGTTAAAAAAGCTGATGAAAGAGACCCAAGACTGTGTGTTTCAACCTGCTGATTTAGTTTACGTTATAATCCTTTAAATACTAATGAAGGATAAATGCCTGCTAATATACCCTGATCATAAGCAATGACTATACAACACCATATAATACTGTTAACTGTCGTAAAACTAGACTCCTCCTGTATTACTACATAGTTCTGTGATAAAATAATATTGCATAATGATGTGTAACCTATAGACAGTGTTTCTACACACACAATGTTTCTGCAGACAAGGCAACTTTTCCAAAAAAGCAGGTCACTAAGCTGGCAGCAGCTGCATGACACACACGTAGTCTTGAGGCTCGTATAGTGGGCGATAAATAGTAGTTTATTTTTGTCTCCCTCTACAGTGTGAGATTTAACAGCTCTGTCACAAAGTCTTTAAGTCAAAGAGAACAGGCAGTGCTGAGATTTGAGGAAGACAGTGCTGCTTTTTTTGTGTCTCTCTTTTCGAAAAAATGCTTTTATCCTTTTTAGTGACTTTGTCAACAAGGCAAAATCATTCTGCACCCGCAGAGTTCAACAGTCAAGGAACTGTCTGACCTATTTTCCAGTTCCAGGATTAAATGTCAGGCCCCCGACGAGGACAGTCTGGTGCCTTATTTAAGACTGGGCAATTGTGACATAACTGGATGACCCAATATCAGTTTTTAAAATACAAAAGATCCATCTGTGGCTTCTATCAGTGAATAAAGTATGCGTACATTTGCTAAATGTTAGTTGTAGAAGTGGTTTCTTGTTATAAAAGGGTCAGGGCTGCACACTGTGTAAAATGTACACTTTAACATACACAAAACAAGATGTCTTTAGTCAAAAGTATGACTGCTTACCAGTGGAATAAAAATACATTTAGGTTGTGGTTTTATATTTATGCAACAATTTTTAACTGATGTAGCTGAAGCTTCATGAAAAACTTCAAGGATGTCAACAATAAAAGCATCAAATACATGAAACAGCTGTTGTCAACTACAGATTATATCAAGATAATATCTTCCCTGAAATCCCCTTGCTGCCTAAAAATATAAGGTTAAACAAAGATATTTCAATTAATGTTCAAGCTCTAGTCAACAGTAAAAGAAAACGTCAGTGTTTTTGAGTCAGTAATTCAGTATTTCTCAGTTTTCTGGAAACGTTCTGGTCTGAAACTGTACAATAACAATGAGGAATATTGTTTATGGAAAATGAAATGACTAAAGCATCAGAGCGTCAGCGTGCGGCGTATTTGTATCCAACACAGCACAGTGTTTTTGTCCTCAACAGTGAACAGAGTTCCTCCTCTGACACAGTGGCACAGCTAGAAAATTAAATCACTTAACGTGGTGGCAGTTAATTCAATAACAGGAAGTGAACAATGTTTTGCCAGGGCCAAACAACCAGAACAATCCCGTTTACTGACTGCCGGTCAGCTGGGCACTAACATTAACTCTGAGTCTTCGTGTTCGAGCAGCCTCCATTTTCTCTCAGGCACTCTTTATTCTCCCTCTTTCTCCTGACCCAATTTCTACCTTCTCATGTCATTTTCAGTAAAAACAATATGACAATATGGCAACTCCAAACATGTTCTTTCAAGGGTTGAGACTGATGTAATAAATATGAAGCCTGACAACTCTGTGTGTGTGTGTGTGTGTGTGTGAGAATTGTGGCATAATATAAAGCTTGTTCAGACACGACACTTGATGTATGCGTGTTGTTCAGTGACTGACCCGCTCAAACATGTTAGGTTCCCTGAACTAAAATATTTTTTGATTAATGATCTTTGATACGTTCTCACTTCATGTGGCTCACTCAGTCAGTAGAAAATAAAATAATACAGGGTTCAGGTTTTTGACAAGTTGACTTTAAAAAGGACACAGTGAAGGGTGTGTGTGTGTGTGTCACTTACAGGAGAGCAAACTGAGACCTGAAAGATTTACGGGGGAAAATTGGGTTTTGTAATGATTTTATATTCAAATTCAAACTTCTGAAAGCGTTTAAGTAATTTAAATAAAAACAGACAGATTTTCTGAGTAAAAATGCAAAATATAGGGATTTTGGAATTCCAAATAGGGAGAAATTCCCAATAGGGACTAAGTCTAACTAAGTGTAGAAGCTTTCTAATCGATCATAAGTCTGTAAAAAAAACAACTTCAATTTCATACCTGGGACACTATTCTCCTTGTTTATCTTACCTTGCTGCACTCGATCTGTTCCTCTCCCTTCCACAGGTCCTGTTCGTAGTAGTACAGCCCGTCGTTGATGGCCTTAGCCAGGTCCGTGGTGAGTTTGGCTCTGGACTCGTGGTTGCCCGTCCGGTCGCCACCGGGGTGCTTACGGATGTAGGGAGGGGTCTGGGTGACGATAAGGATCTTGTTGACGTCTTGGTCGTCCATCTCATAGTCCGAGTCGTCCTCGTCTGACCAATCTGTAAACCTGTTCTTCCTCGGCGCCATCTGCTCCATCTCTTCATCGAACAGGAAGTCCAGCTCCTCCTGGTCGGGCTCGGCCTGCGGAGGAGCATGGTGGCTGCGTGGAAGCGTCTCGCCACGCTCCTGGACGACACAGTGAGTGAGCAGCAATTAACGAAGGAACATACTAGATGAGCATTTCAAATACAGGATAGGATGATACCATACAAACAAGTTACAAGACTCTCATATTTCTGACCTCAAGTTTTTTGAGGTTAAAGGAATAAACTATCTTTAAGAGATTATAATCAATATAGGACTGTTCCCTAAACAAGAAGAGTCTCAGTTGACGCACTTTTTATTAGTTGGATAGTTGCAGAAAAACAAAAACAACGTTAAACTCAGTGCAGGAGCTGCGTCTTGCCACTGGAACTGAAGCATCTGGGGATTGTTGCACCACAGACCTTCTCTCTTGTAACACAGGAAGTCTTCTGCATGTGCTTAATGTACTAGCTGCTGCCACTAGCTCCGCAGCCGTGGTGTCTGCAGCCTATATTTAGGTGTTATGGTAGAGTAAGATAAAGGGTGACAAATATTACTGATAAATAAATAGAGCAAATATGAAAACTGCAGGAGACAAGTATGAGGTGTGACAGTTAATACAGTATGAGACATGAAATGAATGAGAAGCAGGGAGAAGATGAGGAAAAGAGGTTGTTGAGCAAGTGAGAGGAAGAAGTACTCAACTGCAAAGGGCAGGAGGTCGGGTTGAAGCTCTGAGGAAGGAGAAGGGCTGACAGCACACACATCATCCCTGACTGAATGCTGTCAGCCGAAAGGTGGAGGACACAAACAGGAAGGACAGACAAAGACGATGGAGGTTATGAGAAACAGAAAAAAAAGGGATGATGATAGGGATGAAAAATGGAAATATGATGCTTGCAAGACCACAGGTCTGGAGCTGATTAAGACTTCAAGGGGAAGCGTTCGCCACCTTTGTCTTTCCGGGGGGCTGTCGGTGGCGTTTCTCCACCTGGATCCAGGCGTCGGGGTCGGGCTGCGGGGCGGGGGCGTCTTTGGAGGCGTCTGCAGTCGGGAGTGACTCCTGGCTGGAGGAGCTGGGCTCAGCTGAGTCCTCGGGCTCAGCAGACTCAGGAGTCTTTGTCACAGGCGATGAGGCTGAAAGGCCGAACACATCACACTCAGACAACCTTCAACGCGGCTTTTAGAGTCACACGTCACACTGTCAGCTCTCGTTTAGCCACAGAGGTGCCAACAACTGAAATGTCAACGCTGCCTGGTGTCACAGGTAAAATCTTTATCATGTGCACACTATAGCTAAAACGACGAGTCAACTGGCAGAATATTATAAGAAAGAGAAATCAGAAATGATTATAAGAAAGAGAAATATTATTCAGTAATATTATAAGAAAGAGAAATATTTCATCCCAGTTTTCTATTATATTATCAAAAAGACGAAATATTATTAAATATTATAAGATAATGAGAAATATTATTAGAATATTATAAGAAAGAGAAATAATTATTCAGAATATTATACAGCAAACGAGAAATATTATTAGAATATTTGATAAGAAACGAGAAATATTATCTCAGAATACTTATCAAACAAAGCAAATACTATCAGAATTTAATAGAGAAAGAGCAATCAGTTATACCAGAATAGTATACAAAAGAGAAATATTATTAGAATATTATAAGAAAGAGAAATATTATCAGAATATTATAAGAAAGAGAAATATTATCAGAATATTATAAGAAAGAGAATGTATGATGACAAAATGACCAGAAAATCAAAGGTTCTGCTTCTTAAATGTGAAGATTTGCTCCTTTTCATCATCTTTTATGGTATAAAACTGAATAACTTTGGTCAGACAACACAAGACATTTGAACCGTATGGCATTTTATGGAGCAAACGATAATCAAGAAACTAGTTGGCATGTTACCCAATAAAGAACATAATTGTTATCCATCAACTGATAATTGAAAACAAACTAGAAACCAGAATTTGTGGCTTCTTTTCGTTATCACTTCGTAGATTCACATCTTCAAGTATCTTGTTTTGTCTAAGGTTCAAACCCCAAATATATTTTTGATTTTGTTATATAGAAGTTAACGTGATACATCAGAGAAAAGCAGTGAAACCCGAGAAATGTTGGCGATTTTGTGAGAAAATTGACTTAACCTATCATTTTTATTTAATTAAAAGGATAAGGCTGACAATATTCTGTATTTTCTTATTGTCAAAAATCCCATAAAAAGACTAAAACCAAACAGTGTTGCTCTACTTTGACTTCCCTACACTGCGTGGGTCACTCACTGGTCACAATACATATCTTTACTGACAACTGGTCACTGTTGTTATTAGCAATCATTACTCAAACAGAAAGAAATTGTGCATTTGTTGGGGACTATTGAGTATTTTGGACGGTGGACTCGGAGCCAAAATAAACTACAGTGAGCGTATTCGTGGTAATGAAGGAACACAACACCCAGCGCAGCAACAGTGTGGCTCATTGATGTGTTTACAGTAGTTTCTGATCAACAATGGAGCTCTACACACAATAAGACAATAAGAGAAACACAGAATATCAGCAGACTTCTTCCTTTTAGCTTCACTTGTGGTGTCTAAAAATACTGACCGGAGTTCGTGGAGTTGACCGTCTGTCTAGGAACAAACTCTGGACAGTTGATGAGCTGGGAGAAGTCGGTCCGAGGGGAACCCACGACGGCAGGGCTGGGAATGGGCCAGCGCTCGGGGTCGGATTTACAGCGAACCTTATTGTCCACCAGCTCCACCTCTTTGCTGCTCTTTAGAGCCTGAGGAGCAGGAGTTAAAAAAAACAAGGACAAATTCATTTTACAGCTTCACAATCCCAGATTATAGTCAGACCCGAATGTTTACACTGAATGTTTCAGGGGAACTTTGCTACATGCTTTATATTATTTTACAGGATTCTTAATTGAAATCATTTCAACTGTCTAGTTATTAAAAGCAACATTTCACATTCATCTATCATAACAAGCATCTCTACAAATGCAAATTTTTACTCTTTATGGGGATTAAAAGTTGAAAGCAGTGACAGCTATGCGACATAACATTAACAATATGACATCAAACTGATCCCACGAGGCAACACGGCACTGAAGAGCACTAAAGGAGTCTAATATGTACTGTTAATAGCCGCACCATCAGACTGACAGAGGATGTGATATTACCTCCATGATGAGGCTGATATCCATAGTGAGAGCCTGCACTCTGTGGAAGCTGGCGATGAGGGAGATGGGGAGGAAGCCCTGCGCGTCCATCTTTCTCCTCAGGAAGAAGTCTCGCTCCAGGTTGTGGAGGCTGAAGTAGTACTCACTGGAGGAGGACATCAAACACGTCATTCAATCAGGAACACGCTTTTTAAAATTAAAACAACGTCTTAATCAAGAGAGCAGCACCGAGATGAGCATGAATGTAGCTGCTGGGTGAACCGACGAGCCCATGAACCATTTAGTTAAAAGTTAATGAGACGTATTACACCGATTTTACATGTCAAAGTCATTTTAGTAGTTTGCCAAGTTTTATCTCAATTTGGAAAAGACACATTTTAAACAGAAAGACAGCGTAAACAAACCAGGAAAGAAAGACGTTTCCAGAACTATGCTCCTCACTACTGGAATGAATCCCAAAACAAACTAAAGACAAAAGAATGTCTTGACAAGAAAAGCTTCTACACTTAGACAAGAATTTAAAAGTCCTTCAGAGGAAATAAGTGTCTATCAGTTTAATCAGTACTGATATCTATGTAAGTTGTTCTCCTGATCTCAGCGGGACGTCCTGAATAAATAAAACTTAAAATCAACCATAAATACCAAACATTCTTTGATTTTAGCTTCTAAAATTTGAGCTTTTCACAGTTTTAAATCATAGCAGACTGAATAAATGTGGGTTTTGGAGTGTGAGGTTAGTACTTGACACAAATTCCTGTTAAGTGTTGAAGCTCAATATTAAACTCTTGTTAACAAGTAGAGATTAGCCTATTTATTATCTTGTAAGCCACAATAAAAAAAGGAAAATATTATGATCGTGTGACTGGAAAACCAAATCTGTAGTTGGAAAAGCTCTCAGTCTATTCCTTGTTAAAGTCCACACACACGCGCGCGCGTCTGTACGTCGAGCACAGCCTGCAGGCGGTGGGTAGTCGTTGCTTCACGTGGAGTAACGCCGGCTGAGTGAGCACCCTGAATAACGCTGAGGGAGACGAGAGAGGAGAAGACAAGAATGTCCCATCTTCCTCCTCTCAGCCCCCTCCTGTCTCCCTCTCTCACCCATCACCACTCTTTCCCTCTCCCCTCACCCTCCTGCCCGAAACACAGTTCTTTTTTTTTTTTTTAACATTTCCTCGCTCAGGCCTGCATATAATTCATCTCCTGTCCCCCTCTGAGGCACTCGAGTCTATATTTAGGAGTCCACCTCACCCTCCACTATTCTGAGTCTACTGCTGCAATGAGGCCAAAGCTGTCAGTCAGACACACAGTGCACGCTGCCCCCTGCAGGACACACTGAACCCAGAGGAGCTTTACTGGCTACACATGCTCTGTTTACTGCTGTATCTCACACACACTCACCACACTCACACTCACACACACACACACACACACAACACACACACACACACAAACCTTCACCTGTTTGACTCTGCAGGAGCTGGTGGTTAAAACACAACTTTGACTTTTTCTGCCATGTGTTTTTTCCATCATAGTGATAAATTATATTATATTAGGCCAAGATGTCATTACCTGCTTCAGTAAAGAGCTAATGAGGTCTAGATTACACCGCAGTCCAACAGAGACCCACAAATCAAAGTTTTTAAAAGCACTTTAAGTATGTGACTTTTGGAAGGATGTTTTTTCTACAGTTTCAGAGGCGGATCTAATATTGAAGGGACTCAAATATACTACAAACCGTATTAGTGGCAGCCACAATGTGTGGGTTCAAAACAAATAATGTTATAAAGAAAGAAAAAGAGTGGATTCCTGTGTCGGATATTGATATTGTAATTAGGTTGAACCCAACAACCTAATTTCCCCAACAAACTTAGGTTTCTTAGACTATTAAGTGTAGTTCCTTGATTTAGGTGTAAGGAGTCTAGGTAAGTTATCTAGAGCTAAACTAACAACTATTTTCATTACTGATTAAACTAATGATTATTTTCTCAAAGGCGATTAATCGTTTTCACTAAAACAACGGCAGAGAAAAGAGAAAATAAATCAATTACAGTTTCCCAGAGGTGACACAGTCAATTTGGGATCCTGTAAAACAAAGAAGAGCAGGAAACCATGTAAACTGAGAAGTTAGAACCTCTGAATATCAGGGTTTTTTTGGTTGAGAAGTGATTTAGGCAATTAAACAATTATCAAAACAGTTTTCTTTCAGCAGCTGATCATAAATCGGAATAAATTGGAAAACATTTTGAAAACCAATGCTGTATGAAGGTTATGGTTAAAATGTTATTTTGTTAAATAAATTGATAAATGGCTGTAGTTATGTTGTTTGGAGGCTCAAGTTCTTAACATTTTATTAGCTGTTAAAAGTTTATTCCTTTAACTGTCAGTGTGGGAATCTGAGTCCAGTTATAAATGCAATCTGAAAGGCTTTCAGATTGCATTTATAAAAGTTTTCCAAATACTCACATTTGGCGTTTGATGTATTCTTTGAGAAGCTTTTCGTCCACTGTGTACATCTGGACCTTGTTGCCGTCATCGTAGTAGTAAACCATGTTGGTGCCAAACTCTGACGGGACCTGAGAGGAGCCATCAGACGACTGAGAGTCCCGGAAGCTCTGAGAGTATTCATAACGGCCTGAAAGAGCAGAACAAACAGAAAAAGAATAAAATAAAACATCTGCTAATAAGTGACAAGCATTGAAATTTAGTTTTATGGTAAAAGAAGAAAAGGAAAACATTTTGAAAAAGCCAAAATGGATCTCAGCTTTTCTCTCATGTTGTTGAAAAAACTGCTAAAATAAAAAGCAGAGCTTTGCTGCAAGGAATTAAAAACTAGAAACAGAAAATAACACTTTAAACATGACTATAAAGTGTAACGGGTGTTATCCAGTGTAAAAATGTGGCGAAACTAAAAACCGTACCTCGCCCGCGACCTCTCCCGCGCCCACGACCTTTCCCTCTGCCTCGTATTCCTCCCCGCACGCTCCCACCGTCACTTCGGACGCTGGCGGTATCGTCCCCAAAGTCCCGTTGCTCTCTTCTCCAACCTGTCAACAAGAGAACATTAAAGCTTCATGTCAGACATTACACATACCTTCATGTAGTGGTTTGCAAGCTTCGAGGTCCTAAAGGTCCCGAGTGCAGGGCTGATAACATCTGATCTGGAGAGGAATCACTTGAGACTATGAGCTTGTGATAATTGAGCAGCTCAATATAAACTAAACTACTGTTGAGTTATTGAAATAAAGGGAAGGCTGTGAGGAATCTAAAGCACCTTTTTGGAGACGACCAAAATAGGACAACTAACAATCATTTTCAGCATTGATACATCTGCTAATTATTTTTACGATTAATCTATTAATCCTTGGGCTACAAAAGTTCAGAAAATAATAAAAGAGTAATTCAGAATTTTCTAGAATCCAAATTGACATCTTTATACATCTTGTTTTGTCTGATCAGGTGTCCAAAAACAACAAAAATATTCAATTAAATATCATTTAGGGAAAAATGTCATTTTAGCTTGAAAAATGACAAACAAGTCATCAATTAAGAAAATAGTTTTTTTTTTTTTTGACTATACAAAATTGAGCACACCTGAAATGTGGGTTATAAACTTCTTTTGCAGAGAAAAACTCTGCATGTGCGAAGTTAAGTGTAAATATCGTGGTTAAAGATAAAAAAGGTCTGCCAAATGCAACATTCTGCAGACTTTGGATATTTTTATTTTTAATATATTTTGTGAATTTGAGGTGACAGCAGAACAGTTACAGGAAATGAGGGAATGTTTAATTTTGTTTTGTGGGACTATCTGAGTACTCCTAGGTCTCAAATGAAGTTAAATGTTATAACCAATAGAAATGATTGGCTAAATATATCAAAAACAAAAATCCGGTTATAGAGGAGGTGTTTACATTATCCTGCTGGCACAATAATGGAAACGCTCATGAGTAATGTAGGCACAGAGGTCAAACAAACTTGGAATCAACCGTCTGATGCAAAAAAAAGTTCACAAAAAGAAATGAATCATTGAGAGCAAACTACTAAAACCACTAAAGATCATCAGTAAAACGAACACAGATCAATAATTATGCCATGCTTTCTTTCTGCTATGCATTAGTATGGAAAACAAAAAGGTTTGCAGACTCCAGAGAGACAGATGGTAGCGGGGAAAAGTGGTGAGCAAACATGAATTGGAGGGCAAACAGTGAAGCCAAACCAGTGAGTGAAAAAGCAAAACAGAGACAGAAGGCGTGAACAGAAAACAGTGAGCTGCTGGCCACTTACTCCTGCTGCTATCATGCGCCCTGTTATTATGGAGTGTGTGATTGGGCGACGTGGGGTCAGGTTCTGGCTCTGTGTCCCCGCCGTGCGTCTTGTCGCCGTCGTCCCGGGACACTTCCTCCAGTGGCAGAGAAACCCACTTACGTTTGTTACCTGGCGATGATTGCACACCGAAAACAGAGCTTGAAGAGTTTTGTTCCAAAAAACGGTAGAAATCCAGTTTGGAACAAATTAAAAAAATCAACTGCACTTTAATCTAAACTTCACTTACAACAACTTTTTTCAGATTTTTCAAGGCAAGGTTTGATTAAAACTGGATTATTCTGAGCTAACCACACTTTCAGGGGACTTTGAGTTAATGGCTGACTCTTGTTATGTTGAACTATCAACTCAGGGACAAGGAAAGGTGATTTTAAACTATGACAATGGTGATGAATGAGTAATGTATGACTTATTAGTGTCAATCAATCTTGCTTTGAGACATAAAGAATGAAAACTAGTCATTTAGCTGTGCTGTAACATACTGTACGTCATAATTAAACCTTACAGATGACTTATTTATCACTAATGATGATGTGAAAACCAACAAAAACTAGTGAAATTACTCACAGGGAGGTTTGTTTATTAAGTTTGTGGCAGGGTACCCTCAAATACTGACATTTTGGGAAATATATTTAATTCCTCTTGCTGAGTTAGATAAAGAAATGTACACCCCTTCCATATCTGCCTGAGCTACAACCAGGAGCTGCTTAGCTCACTAAATGACTTGTCTGAATGGACACAATCTGAAACTTATCCATTACTGTCCATCATTGTGTGCATTTGTATGAAGATCCAGATGCAGATTCACACTTTAACTTATTAAAACAACATTTAAAGTTAACATTTTCACATTTTCAACAACATTTTAAGATTGTTTTCACACCAACAAACTTTAAAAGTATTTTCAAAGTGTGAGGGAATCTATCCTGAATGATCTCAGCTCACTTTGGAACAAAACTCTTCACTTTATTTCTGGTTTAGACCCTCAGGAGCTGATAAAGTGGTGTGTCTCTTATTAGCCTCCATAAAAAGATTGATAACTGTTATTTTTAGTTTAAATATCTATAAGATGGAAGTTAATCAGGGGGAGTGCAACATATATGATTATCAGAGCAGAACATGCACCTATCCACAATTACCAACTGCGATCAATACAGTTATTAACATGCTCCTTCTACGCAAACCATCGGCGCCCAGTGAAAACATTCATCTCCAACATTTGATTAAAGTGGATTATCATTCAGGAGATCAATCATTTCACATTTTCAGGCATTTTAAAAGCTGTTTCACATGCTTTAATCAACGGAGAGAAAGTCCTCACCCTCACCTCCTCGCTTCTTCAGGGCGGCGCTCTTGGCATCCTGTCCCGCCTTGGACTCTCCGTCTTTGGGCAGCTCACCCAGCGGGTCCAGCTGAGCCTCCTGGTTCTCTTTGCTTTCTCCACCGTCATGGCTGCTCTCTGATTTCCTATCCGTTCGCTCCCTCCTCTTCTCCTTCTCTCTGCGTGAGGAAGGAGGCTTCTTTCCGTTGTTGTTTAGGACATTTTGTTGCTGCTGGAAGACGGAGAGATCAGCTGTTAATTAGACTTTTAGGGGATGATGAAACGTCATTTTACTCTTGTCAGAATAACAATTACAGATCAGTCAGTCTCATTTTTAACTCCTGATCTTGACCATTAAAATCATCAAATTTTTAATCTACTTCTGAATCAGCAAAAAGGCTCCATCACATGGGGTTTTCTCAGAAATTAATAAGAAAATTAAGTAATTAGAAGGTATTTCAAATGCATTTTTTTTTTTTTTAGCTTTTCTGAAATCCTCAAATCATAAATATTCTTGGTGTGAACTAAATAATCAAATATCAATCCTGTAGAATCATTCCTCTATATCTATCTGTGTTATAATGGTTTCAAATCGGTTACAAAGAAAGAAAAATCTGATGTGTAATCAAAAACAAAACATGATGCAGTAAAAAAATGTGACTTTAATTACATTTTTGCCTGTTCTGTTGTTAGATCCTTCGTCAGGCCTCTTAAATTCCTTCAAACAATCAGAGTACAAATGAATTAATTTAGGGTTTTTGGGAACCATTGCTCTTTACTGTCAAAGTTTATCTTCTTGATCCTGCAACAAATTTTGGTTTTCTAGCTCATTTTAAAGCAATAACACACAAATACCACCTGAAAAAGTGGAAAACACTTAAAATAAATATAAATTTTAAATAAATAATACTTTAAATAATATTATTCCAGCACGTCTATACAGAGCAAACAGGACAGGAGCGTCTGAGGTTAAACCAATTAACGTTTTAAACAATTATACTTGAGTAAATAAAAGCTTTTAACATTAACTTCCTCCCTTACTTTGCCTACGAGTACCTGAAGAAGTTTTCACATCTTAAAGTTCCCTGGACTGACTACATGTGAAATTTATTGGGCACCATCTCTTCTCTACTCTTCTTTTGTTTTATATATTGTCCCAAGTCAGTGTCGAGGCCAACTGCAGAGTTAAAACCTGAACATTGTTTGATGTTTTTAGTGCTCCATCTAGTGAGCACAAACCAGAAAAAGCTCCTCTGTAATCCAACCAGTCTGTTCAGTAAAAGAAAGCAGAAAAGAAGTTGTTGCCTTTAATCTGCGGTGGTGGAATGTAACTAAGTGCATTTACTCAAGTACGGCACTTAAGATGCTTCATGCTTTCTACTTCTGCTCCACTACAATCCAGAAAGAAATATCGTACTTATTTACTTCTTTACATTATTTACCAGCTTACTTTACTAAATTAAAGATTTTTTGCATACAAAACATATGAACTTTTATTTTGTTATAAATTAAACTACCCAACAGTTGATTAAGCAATTAATCAATCAATAAAACAAGCACTGTGAAGGTGTGACTTTGGGTAATTGTGACGGCATTTCTCACTATTTTCTGAGTTTTACAAAACAAACAATCTATAAATGAAGATAATAATCATTAGTTGCAGTCCACATAATAATCTAATGATATCATATATAATAGTATCAGTAACAGTCACAGTTTAATACTTCAAGTACATTTTACTGATGAGACTTAGATACTTTTACTTTTAATGGAGTGTATTTACGGTGTGGTATTTGTACTTTTACTTAGAAGTATCTGAAACATTCCTCCAGCTGTTTGATTTAACGTCAAACAAACATCCAACCAGGCACACACTTGTCATACCTCTTTGGCCAGTTCACCAGGTGTGGGCCAGTTTGTGATATCACTGAAGTCACTTGACTGTAAAATTGAGAAAGAAACAACAAATCAACAACAACAAATCATCAATCCAACATCCACCAGTCGTCTATCTGTCACCTGGGCTCATTTTAATTGTTCAAACATTGTGTGTCAGGTAGAGTCTGAGTGCCCTTCTGGTAGAAACCAGCTGGGGAGGAAAAAGGAGGTCAGTGCTCCGTCTGTGGGGAAACTGCAAACAACAACGATTACCACTGTGAATGTTGTAAATTTGGACAGCCTGATAGGAGATCAAGGTTAGACAGACGAGGGTTACAGTCGCACTGCAGGGTAAGGTCAGCCGCAAAATAAAAACTGCTGACGTTTTAAAATCACAATCGTTCTGCTACAGGTGTATTACACAGAAGGTCTCACTGTGGTTGTGGATGCAAGAGTGAGGGAACAAGACTGAATTCATTCTTTAGGGTCTTCTGGCTGTTGTAACTCTCACTCGTACGTGTATGTTTTTGTCCCTCTGTAATAAATATGCTTAAAGAAGGATCAGTTCATCCAAATCCACCTCTTTCAGTGGAAGTTGGTACAGGGAAATGTTAGTGACGACCTCTGAACACCACAAAAGAGACAACAGCAGCGAAAAATCTTACATTTCTGACACATTTCTTAAACATTTGAGCTAAAACTGCAGAGCTGTTTAAGTTTAAAACACATTTTTGTACCAACTGATGACAACTCAAACTATTCAGCTCCAATGCTGCACTTACAATAATTACTGGTGTATAAAACGGCATCAAAAAACATTAACGCCATAGATTTTGTTGTTATTCAAGAGCAGCATTAAATTCTATGTTGTGAATTGGGGTGAGTTTGTTTACATTTTGTTGACAGTCAATTAAAAGTTGCCCTCTGGAGTTTTCTTGTAAACAAACAAGGCTTCTATTTACATTCAGTGTTACTCACAAAAACACCCTGTGTGGATCCTTGAGCTCGAATAAATGGGTCCAATAAATGTTCATAAAAACACTCACAGACCCGTTTTTAAGCATTTTAAATCCAGCATTGTTTACATCCACGTTTACTAGCTAGAACTCTTCTTCTTCGCTGTCTTTGCTGGCACGTTGCTGCGTATTTTGGCGCATTTCCACCACCTACTGTGAAATATAGAGCAATGTGAAATGTGTGGCCTTGTGCGTGCACCAGACTAACAAAGAATAATAAATAATAATAATGAAAACCTCCACTGGAGTACCGTTAACAACGTCACTTGGAAAACGAACTCAGCAGACTTCCAGCTTGGACAAACATTGGAGTTAAAGTATAAATAAAGTTACATGTAATAAATGAACAGAGTCAATGTTGTAAATCACGTGAAACCCTAAAACACACACAGAGATCAGAGTACGTGGGACTGTGTGTTACCTAATATTATACATTATTTCAACTAAATTATATTCTTATGATATAATAAGAATATAACTTCCTACCAGTTTATGTCATCCAAATTCCAATAAAACTAGTTATTAGAATGAAAAATGCTCTGAGATAACTTCTGTTAGGATTTGACAACATATAAATACAATGTTAGACCGTTCATTTCCTTTAACGTATATTTAGTGGAGGATTTATTCAAACATTTGCACCAATGTGACAGAAATCTATACAGAAAAATATCCTTGTGACAGTATTTATACTGTGGTGTGATATTAATACATCAGCCAGCACAACGGTGGCGCTCTAGAGTAACTTCGTGTCATCTCTGATATCTGACTTTGACCATGAAAACTGTCAACAGGTTGCATTCTGGGTCAGCGGGGTGCAATTCAAGCAGAAATCCACAGTCTGTGTGTCCTGTTGTAGCAACAAAGTAAAGCATAAAGTGAACAACAAAATACACAAACATAAGATCGACATCTTCCATACACTGACGGGCAAATGTGTTTCCTTTTCTCCGTTTCAAATGTCAACACTTCCCGTTTTATCCTCCTTTAAAGTTAATTAGACTTGTTTGTGACATTTTTATCGTTTGGTTTCCTTCCAACTATTAATCTTAAACAAGTGCAGTGGAAAAACTTGCTGGAAAGTCAAACAAAACAATCAGGCAGAAGCTCAAACCAGCTAATGTTGGACTAGTGGCAGATGTTAACTTCCCATCCTTCATGTCGGTACCTGGCAGACGTCACAGTGATGGAATAACACGTGATCCTGAGGCGACTTCACGGGTGAGAAAACGGGCAACTTACCTGGACTAATAGCTCAAATAAAACATCCATTTACTCCTCAGCTGAGACAATAAACAACACAACATCTCCAGTGTTTGGACAGAGGTAGAAAACAAACAAACAAACATCATTCAACAACCAAGAAGAAGTTCAGAGCATTACCTTGCTGGATTTTCTCGTTCTGGGCTTGCTGGCACGGACGACTTTCAGAGCGTTTTGTTGATCTGCAGACACAGAACCAATAAGTGACGTCATCATATTTGACCAGAATGCCTAAATCCAACAGATTGTGATCCTTTTCAACAGGCGGGAAATGTACAGACAGACAGCAGCGAGCAGGTTGTTAAGAAGTCTCCTGCTCTGCCTGTGGAACTGGGACTTGCAGTGCAGAGTGAACACATATCCTTCCCACTCAGCGAGCGGAGGCTGTTTTTGTGTGCGACCAGCGGCGGTACGTTGCTGTGCAGGCGGCGGCAGGCTGGGAGTGGCCCGCTGCAGCCCGACGGCCCCTATCGCTGGGGAGAGGATGGTCGGATTGATAAGAGGCGCGGGGGCCGAGGCCTCCACAGGAGCGGCTGTGTGCCTGACTGAGCCTGCAGGCGTCCACCCACAGAGCTGTACAGTAACAGTGTAAAATGATGCCTGTGCTCCGAGTCCAACGCTTCAAATATAGCTCCCCCCCCCCCCCCCCCGTCGCGTGCGCTCTGCCTGCCCCCTGAGCACACATTCAGCGAACTCCACACTTCAGCCTCCCGGCGTTTGTTATTTGATGCTTATTGGTACCTAATAAATGCGACTGCCTGAGGCGCGACATCATGAGGCTTTTGTGGATTTGTTTTTATCTAGTCCACAAAAAGCTGCAGAACCATTCAAAGTTGAAACGATCAGGGCTGGATAATCAGGTTTACTGATTTTTTTTGAGCCGAGACAGAAAGCCTAGTCAATTATTTAAATCAAACACGTCCCAACCAACGTAGTAGTTAAACTGCCAGAAGGGTTTGTAAAGAAAGAGGATTTTTAAGAAGAAAAGGACTTAGAAAGCAAAACCAAAGCAAACTTTTTTTTTTAGAGGACTAGCATTTCCCAGCAATGCCAGGCCGTGGCGTCTGCCCAATAGCACCGCTCCCTGATAAAAACGCACACACATATTTTTTTTTTTTTTTCAAACTTTTCGTCCACTTTGACTTTTTTTTTAAAAAATCAGCGTTGTTCTTTTTAAAATGTTTATTTTTAAAAAGAAACCTTTAATTAGTTGAAACAGGGCCAACCCTGGATGACATCACTGTTTGACATTCACCTTTGTGACGATCACTGTGACGTCACAGGGGCGTGCGGCTCAAGAAGAACACGGGGGATTTCTGAAGACAAGTGTTAAAAACGAGCAAAGACTGTCCGTACGGTTGTTTTTAAAAGCTGGTGGGGGTAACAGGTAGTGACAGTAAAGTGTGTTTGGACTTTTAGGCTTGGCTTGCGGAACTCGTGAGAGAAGTTGAACAGGAAGATCACAAAGGTAACTTATTAACATTGAATTGCATTCGAGCTTTTAAGAGTAAATTTATGCTGCCCTGCTATTTCTTTTGGTTTCTAAGGAAATTGGGTGAACACGGTCCTTCGCTGACGTCATGGTTTTATTATTATTTTAGAGCTTAGAAAAGGTAAATGCGGTGATTGATCATGAAATGTGTTAGTTGGAAAAATAGTTCTTTAGTGCAGCCTTAAGACAACCCAAAATGAATTATTCTAATTCTAGTGTGAATATATGTCCTAATAATGTACATGTATATATATATATATATTTAAACAACATTTACAAACTTAATATTATGAGATAAACAACTGTATTGTTTCATTTATTATTTATTACTTTAATTAAGCTGAGAGTAGTGATTTAGAACTGCTAAAACTCTTTACTTGAGCCGCACTTTAGAAGCCACAAACAAATCAGACCAACAACAAACCTTGAAAAACAATGAATTACTCTCATTTCTCTCACCTCACAGAACAATAACATCCAGACAAACAACAAAAAGCGACGGGAGCGGGACAACCGCCTCGAACTGCGGCTGAAGTGTCAACCCCGCCCCCTCGGCTTGGGTCTACCCTTCCACACCTGTCCTGCCACCTTTGCAGCACACAGCACACACGACACACACACACACACAAGT